CGCACTTTCGTGCACCGCATGGGCCCACTCGGTCACATGCGCATCCACGAACACCTGCGGTAGACAACCGCCGGCAGCACCACACCATCACACCCTCCCTCCCTCCCTCACCACCCCCCACCCCGCCATACATCAACACTCACCCACCGCAAGTACCCAACTGCCACTTCCCACGCAAGCGGGAAGTGTGCATCTCGACTCGGTCCCTGTGCGGCTTCTACTGCACGGGTGACTTGAGACTGAGACTATCCCGACAAGTCAAACGTCGTGGATAGAAAGGCTGCTGATTGACGCCCCCACGCGGTCTGCGCAGTCCGTCCCATTGTGTGCGTGTTGTGTGGAGTGGCGGACTGGTGGAATGAAAGACGGGCTGAAACAGCACCTTCCACGGCCCTCTCACGCAAGAGCGAGATCTGCTGTTCAAACCCCGTTGAGTGAAATCCTGGTGTGTGTGTGTGTGTGTGTGTGTGTGTGTGTGTGTGTGTGTGTGTGTGTGTGTGTGTGTGTGTCTGGGTGTGTAGGGTGTCCAGCGGTGCGTTCACGTGATGGTCGTGGTGGTCGCTCACTTGCTCGCAGGTGAGACTACGCCTAGCGTCCATTTGCTGGCACCTAACTCTCACCTGTGGCTCCACGTAGCTGGGCTCTGCTCAGCGGCCACACCCCGGGCAACCGCCTCGACCGGCGGGCTAAACCAGGTGAGGGCGCTGTGCGCTTGTGCCGCGTGCACAGTGTACTGCGGGCTCCGCTGGACGTTTGGTCGGATGAAACGATGCGCCGGCGTCGCCGAGACGAGGCTCTGCCTGGTACGCCGTTGGACAGCTGCTGCCGGGATGGGTCCCCGCATCGCCTTCGCTGAGACGCGCCCACCTACGCCGACGGAGACCGCGGACCTCGGCATATGCGGTCGTTCTCCACTACAAACAAAAAGTCGTGGCCCCATAGTGGGATTCGGTCGCGCCAAACAGGCACACAGGCAGCCCGATTCGGGGGGCACTGCCTGTCCCCATTACGGCGGAGGACCTAGAAAAGGTGGCCTAAACATTGCTGGGCACCACGCCGTCTCCAGGCTAGCCAGAGCCGCAGACGTCTAATCATGGTCGAAACACTCAAAATAGAAACAACAACAATACCATTAACAACAACAACCATACTCTTTCTCCTCATCCTACCTCTTCCTCTGCCTATTCTTCTGTCTATTCTTCTGTCTATTCTTCTCCTTCGTCATCTTCTTCTCCACATTATTCCCGTCGCCCCACTCGCTGTCACCAGACCGGCAGGGTGAGCCCGCTCACTCTGGCAGCCTGGAATGTTCGTTCCCTTTTAGACAATCCGAGGAGCAACCGACCGGAACGGAGGACGGCGCTAGTGGCACGAGAACTGGCGCGCTACAAGGTGGACATCGCCGCACTCAGCGAGACCCGATTCTCCGAACAAGGCCAACTGGAGGAGGTGGGTGCCGGCTACACCTTCTTCTGGAGTGGTCGACCCAGGGCAGAGCGACGAGACGCGGGTGTCGCCTTCGCCATCCGGACCGACATCGTGGGACGACTGCCTTGTTTGCCGCAGGGAATCAACGACCGCCTTATGAGTCTCCGCCTGCCTCTCCGGCGAGGAGGCAAGTTCGCCACCATCATCAGCGCCTACGCTCCGCCGATGACCAGCCCCAACGCCGTCAGAGACATATTCTATGAGGACCTGCACGCCATCTTGGCGACTGTTTCGAAGGCGGACAGGTTGATTGTCCTTGGCGACTTCAACGCCCGCGTCGGCACAGACCATACTGCCTGGAGAGGAGTGCTGGGTCCCCACGGTCTCCGCGGCTCCAACGACAACGGCCTGCTGCTTCTCCGCACCTGCGCAGAACACCGCCTCACCCTGACGAACACGTTCTTCTGTCTGCCGGAGCGAGAGAAGGCCACCTGGAGGCATCCTCGGTCGCGCCAGTGGCATCTGCTGGACTATGTCCTCGTCCGGAGGCGAGATCAGCGGGACGTGCTGGTGACGAAGGCGATCGCGGGTGCTGACGGGTGGACCGACCATCGCCTCGTCATCTCGAAGATGCGTATTCGCCTACAGCCTCGCAGGAGACCACAAGGTAAGCGACCCCCAGGTAAGCTGAATGTTGCTTTGTTGTCTTTGCCTGCTCACCGTCTCCATTTCAGCAACGAGCTAGCTCAACGGCTAGACAACCTTCCTATCGCTGCCGCCGCCGACGACGCCGCCGCCGCCGCCGCCGCTGCCGAGAACACCTCCGTGGAAAACCGCTGGTGTCAACTGCGAGACACGGTCCAGTCGACGGCGCTCGCCGTCCTCGGTCGCGCACGTCGCCAACACCAGGACTGGTTCGACGACAACGACGCTGTCATCAGCAATCTGCTCGCTGAGAAGAACCGCCTACACAAAGCCTACGCAGACCACCCCACTGATGCCACCAAAGCTGCCTTCTACCGCAGTCGCCGCCAACTCCAGCAACGACTGCGTGAGATGCAGGACGCCTGGACTGCTCGCAAGGCCGAGGAGATCCAAGGGTACGCGGACCGAAACGAATGGATGAACTTCTTCTCTGCGATCAAAGCTGTCTATGGTCCGCCGACGAAGGGCACTGCTCCTCTCCTCAGCGCCGACGGCAGCACTCTCCTGACTGAGAAGACGCAAATCCTGCAGCGATGGGCCGAGCACTTCCGAGGCGTCCTCAACCGCCCTTCCGCCATCTCCGACGCCGCCATCGCCCGCTTGCCGCAAGTGGAGACCAACGCGGACCTCGACCTCCCGCCATCTCTCCAGAAAACGATCAGGGCCGTGCAGCAGCTCTCCAGCGGGAAAGCACCCGGATCGGACTCAATCCCTGCTGAGGTCTACAAGCACGGAGGTCCCCAACTGATGGTTCACCTGACTGCGCTCTTCCAGGAGATGTGGCGTCAAGGTGAAGTCCCGCAAGATTTGAAGGACGCAACTACCGTGCACCTATACAAGCGAAAAGGGAATCGCCAAGTCTGCGACAACCACCGCGGCATCTCCCTACTGAACATCGCCGGGAAGATCTCCGCTCGCATCCTGCTCAACCGCCTCAATAACCATCTGGAACAGGGCCTTCTGCCGGAAAGCCAATGCGGCTTCCGTCGTCATCGTGGGACCACGGATATGATCTTCGCCGCCCGTCAACTTCAGGAGAAGTGCCAGGAGATGCGGACCCACCTGTACTCTACCTTCGTGGACCTGACGAAAGCCTTCGACACGGTGAATCGTGGGGGACTGTGGAAGATCATGCAGAAATTCGGCTGTCCGGAGCGATTCACTCAGATGGTGCGTCAGCTGCACGACGGTATGATGGCGCGAGTCACGGACAACGGAGCTGTCTCAGAGGCATTCGCAGTGACCAACGGAGTGACGCAGGGCTGTGTGCTGGCGCCTACCCTCTTCAGTCTTATGTTCTCTGCCATGCTGATGGACGCCTACCGCGACGAACGCCCTGGAATCCGCATCGCCTATAGAACCGATGGTCATCTCCTAAATCAACGGCGCATGAACTTCCAATCGCGTGTATCCACAGCCACCGTGCACGAACTCCTCTTCGCCGACGACTGCGCCCTGAACACCACCTCCGAAGCGGAGATGCAACGGAGCATGGACCTATTCTCCGGCGCCTGCGAGAACTTCGGTCTGGTTATCAACACGCAGAAGACGGTGGTGATGCATCAGCCGCCTCCCAACTCAGCCACAGCCCCCAACGCGCCGCCGCAAATCAACGTGAATGGGACTCAACTGCAAGTGGTGGAGAACTTCCCGTACCTGGGCAGTACCCTCTCCCGGAACACCAAGATCGATGACGAAGTCGCCAACAGAATCTCGAAAGCCAGTCAAGCCTTCGGACGCCTCCGAAGCACAGTCTGGAATCGCCATGGTCTCTAACTGAGCACAAAGCTGAAGATGTACAAGGCCGTCATCCTGCCGACGCTACTGTATGGAGCGGAGACATGGACGGTGTACACGAGGCAGGCACGCCGACTGAACCACTTCCACCTCAGCTGTCTCCGCCGCATCCTGAGGCTGAACTGGCAGGATCGAATCCCCGACACGGAAGTGCTGGAACGGACGGGAATTCTAAGCATCTACCTCATGCTGAGACAAATGCAGCTGCGCTGGAGCGGCCATCTGGTGCGCATGGACGACGAGCGACTACCCAAAAGTCTGTTCTACGGAGACATCGCGACGGGTTCTCGCTGTCAAGGCGGACAGACTCGCCGTTACAAGGATACCCTGAAGTCCTCCCTGAAGCGCCTGCACATCAACCCGACCAACTGGGAAGAGCTCGCCCGCGATCGTCCGACATGGAGGAGAACAGTGAAGACGGGCGCTGCTATCTACGAAGCCAACCGCATCGCCGCCGCCAAAATGAAACGCGAAGTCCGCAAATCACAACTCCGCCCAATACGCAACGCCGCCGCACAACCTCTCCCTACATGTCCTCGATGTCAACGGACATTCCGGGCACGAATCGGACTTGTTGGACATCTTCGAACCAACTGCACCTCTCGAACTGCCCCAGCCATCGTTCCCCCGCCCGCCTCTTCCTCGTCCTCTCTTCCGCCAACTAACTCTGACACTCCTTCTGCACCACCACTTCCATCCTCCTCCATCTCCTCCACTGCCCCAGCGGTGGCCGTTCAGGCTGCCGTCTCACACGTCGCCAACCACGACACAACAACCACAACCACCCCCACCTCTCCCGATTCCAGTGATGAGGATCAGGACTACACCTGCCCTCACTGTGACCGCACCTTCACCTCACACATCGGCTGGTCGGTCACTTGCGAATCCATCGCACAGAGACTGGTGAACCAGTGCCTAGAGCACCAACCTACACCCACCGCACTCGCCTCCACTGCCCACAATGCCCTGGCACCTTCACTCACCGCATGGGCCTGTTCGGCCACATGCGCATCCACGAGAGCGGAATTGACCGCAGCCTTGACACACCCACCCCGCCGAGCCCCACTCCCAATCCACCACCTTGTGCACCCACTAACCACTCCCCAGCCGACATCGACGCCACCGACCTTACCACCCCTCACTCCTCCCCTTCCTCCTCATCTTCCTCCATCACTGCCACAACGACGGCCGCTTCGGCGTCTGTCGCCCACGACCTCACCACAGCCGAACCTGACACAACAACCGGCACAACCCCTGCAACCTCCATCATCAGACTTGAGGGCCAGGACTACATCTGCCCTCACTGCGATCGCACCTTCACTTCACGCATCGGCCTGGTCGGTCACTTGCGAATCCATCGCACAGAGACTGGCGAACCAGTGCCTGAAGCACCAACCTACACCCACCGCACTCGCCTCCACTGCCCACACTGCCCTCGCACCTTCACGCATCGCATGGGTCTATTCGGCCACATGCGCATCCACGACGACCTGCGGTAGACAACCGCTGGTCACACCACACATTCCCTCACTCCCCACCTCCTAAAACCATCACCCCATCAGACATCAACGCCCACACACCTCATGCACTCAACTGCCGCCTCCCACCCAAGTGGGAAGTGTGCATCTCGACTCGGTCCCCATGCGGCTTCGGCTGCACGGGTGACTGTGTCCGAGAATATCCCGACACGTCAAGCGTCGTGGATAGGAAGGTTGCTGATTGAGGCCCCGCTCTCGGTTCACGCAGTTCGTCACGTGTGTGTGTGTGTTGTGTGGAGTGGCGGACTGGTGGGCTGGGGACGGGCTGAAGCAGCACCTTCCACGGCACTCTCACGCAAGTGAGAGACACGCCGTTCAACCCCCGTTGTGTGAAATCCTGGTGTTTGTGTGTATGGGGGGCCAGGTCGTGCTGTGGCGCGCGCAGGCATGGTCAGTCGACCATGTCAGCCACCGCGCCCATTTCCCACTCCAGTCTACTGACCGGCTCGGACAGTGGCTGGGGCGTGGGAATGGGAAGGGAGAGTGAGGTCGACGACTCAGCGCATTTTCCTCACTATAATCAATCTGACGCGCTTGAAGCTATCACGGTGCGCTAAAAGTCGTGGCTTGGAAGGTTGCCAACTGACGGGGTACCTTGGACCTCCTCCTTCACTGGAGGCGGTCTGAGAGTCAGGCTGCAATGGCTCCTTTTTAATGTGGCCTTTTTGGCATTCCCACCACAGCGTGGGATCCGAGCCAGGCGTTGGCGGCACGCCTAGGTGCGGCTTCGGTCGTGCCAGCCTCCAAATCTCTGTTGTGTTGGTTGAAATCCTGGTTATTGTTGTGTGGACCAGGGGGTGTGGTGGAACGCCAAGGTGAGGATCCGTCCGAGCCATCCACCTGCGGCCTCCCTCGTCTCCGGTCTTCTTGACTCTGTCTTGACACCGGGCCCAGGCGGGGGAGGAGGAGAGAGTGTAGGTAGATGCAGCGCAAGTCTACCCGCACTATAAACCCCTGCGCAAGTCACCGTCCCTGCTCCCACCGCTGCTGCAGCTGTGGGGCACACGGTGGACATAGTCGAAATCGACGGTCGAACTGTCGTCGTGTGTGTGTGTGTGTGTGTGTTTGTGTGGGGGGGGATAGATTTTTAACTTAGAGAGCTTGAAAATTTGCTGTTTAAGGACAGCTGGTTCCATTTTTTAAACTGAGAAATCGCCGATGGAGTGGAGATGAAAAGGAGGAAACAGGATACAGCACTTTTTACATAATTTCAGGGAGGCAAAATTGGAAGAAATAAAGCCTGTTTTGGGCAGATTCTCTATTTCCGATAACAATATGATGAGTATACGAAATTCTCACAGGACTTTGCCAACAACCTTACGCCTCCGACTTTCGGCTTGGTACATGTCGTTTGACACAATGATGATTACCGCGGTCTGTGCTACTGTCTGCTCTATTTAATCTTGATGTCAGCGTTCCACGCATCCATGTCCCCACTTCTGCGAATTGACCTTACGACACACGTAACTGCGGGTGCTTCTGTCTCGCAACCTTGCCGGCTGCTTCTACAGTCAGCTACATTTACTGCGCTTTGGTCGTGCAGTGGCGAGACTTCTCGAATCCTCATAAGCTCTCATCAACGAGGCGGTCCTGTTCCGCCCAAATCATCATCACTATAAATACGAAGTGGCATCTGTACAAACCTCCTCACTGGATTCGAGACTTAACCGTAGATGCTTTGACTTATAACAAAATAATTATTATTTCCTTTTGTTTAATCTCTTCACGTCCGTTTTTGACAAACGTTCTTCTATATTTTTGTGATAGGCTTTTAGGCATGACCAATTTCTCACAGACGGTTACATAAAAAGCCCAGGCCACCTTCCAGTATATTTGCCAACCACATACCCCGTAGAATAGTGAAGTGGAACTGACAAGAAAGGATGCCAGAAACCGAGGCATTCCCAGTATCTACGCCATGCTGAAGCAGAAGTAACTGCTTTGAGACGGTTTTGTCGCGAGAATGGATGGACAACACCTGCCCAGGTGGTTATTTTATGGTGAAATTGCTGCAAACGCTCGTAAACAAATCAGGCAAAGACGACGATATAATAACGTTATGAGGACCTCTCTCAAGCCCCTGCAAATCAACACTGAAACTTGGAATGCCTCACACTGGATCCGCAGGTGCGGTATGTTGCAGTTAAGTCAACAGCAGCCGTATTCGCAACTAGCCAAATATCCTCAGCCGCGGCGAAAAGAGATGCACGCAACTGCCTAACACCACGGCACTAGCCATCATACCCACATTGTCAACGGAGATCCTGGACACGGTTAGCCTCATTGAACACCCTGCCTCGGATTCTGCTACGTGTCTGCACGGCCGACTTTCACATCTCACAAAAGACCACCACTACCAGCATCGTCAGCGAGGACATTCTTGCCGTTCTGCCCGCCATAACCACCATTTCCGCTTCTATTAGCAGTGCGGACGAAGTTCCGGTCTGTCCACATTTTGACTGCAACGTCGAATGAGGCGTGGTTCTGGTCGGCTATCTATGAATTGATCATACTGAAACCGGTGAACCAGTACCAGGAGTCCTGAAATGCAACCGTCATTCTCGTCTCACTTGTTCATCTGCATACTCGGCCAAAGAATGGGCATATCCGAGCACATGCGCTTCCGTGCTAAAGTCTAGTAAAATAACAGTCTAAACTCCTGTCGCAATACTTCGTCCTATCTGTGCAGACACACATCCCTAAGCTGCATATAATCGCAACCGGTTAAATGCATATGAACGACCATTATAGAGCACAGCATATATACTTCATGCAAAATGTATTCGATTTGATTTGCCGATGTCGGTATATCGAGCCAAATGTTACATGAAAATGTGTACATCTCGCTAGTGGAAAGAAAGTCGCCACTTGTGTGCATCGGCACATACGTGGAAGGCGCCGGTTCGTGCGTCGCACGCGTAGAGTGGCTGCTTGGTTCTCTCAGTCATCGCACTCAATCTTATGCTCAATAAGCCAGATTAGGACAGACCATGTTTTGAGTTGGAAAAGAGGGAATGAGATAGACATTTGGGTGTCCCTCCTAAGGGTAAATTAGTGCATACCTCACTGGAGTAAACCTTGTATCTTGGGGGGTTACCAGCTGAAGTGGTAACTTGATTCGTTCCAGAATTGAAGGGCAGACTGCAATGATTCCTTCCGAATATGATCATCACTACATTCTCCCTTATGTGGGATCGATGGATTTCCTAAATATATGTCAGTACACGAAGTGAGAACAAGGTCGGGTGTGGCATGCGCAGATAGGCTGTTTAGCTTTGACAACCACTGCACCCACACCCACCTCTGGTTGTAATGACTTTATTTCCCTATCGGAGTACGGTGGGTATGGAAGGAGAGATTTACGATAGATGCGTCGCAAGTCTGCTTCACCATAAACGATTTCGCGTGGAAGCCACCACTGCTAGGTCCACATCATGGGGTAGCGGTGACCTCCATTGTCTGCAACGTGCACTAAGGCGCTCGGCCAGAGTTCCAGTCCACATTTTCCTTAGCCTTACCTCTGTAGACAATTGTAAGCTCAGATGTGATTTCACGGTGAGGATGCACTCTGCTGTGAAGTACCCGCTTGAACATCACATAAGAGATGGAGCATAAGTAAAAAAATTTATTGTTTAATTTTCCCGAAGTGTTTTCAAAAGTTTATGAAAGGCAGTTGGAATCATGTCCGCCACTGCTAGAAGGACAGCAAGTGCATGTATACATTTTTCATACTCATAAGCTATTAAGGAAACCCATCTGGGTTCATGTTCAGGTATTCTGTCGAATACTGTGTGGATAGACTCACTGAATAGTCTGAGGAGTTTGGTGAGTTTGAAATTTCCAACTGTCCAAAGAGGACCGATTTACGTTCAAAACTTCTCAAAGGATCAAGGGCTTCATGGTAAATGTGAATGCCTTCTGCTCTGTCAGTTATCGGAGGTTCAGGTAAAATTTCGGATTGACAGATCGTCGGATACTTGCCACAGCAGTTGAGTGCACCCTCAGGATATACAAAGTCGCCTTGACAGCAAGTAACTTCCCATTGGTAATAGTCATTCGTAAGGCTGGATGAACACTTTGTGTCCGCTGCTGGAGTAATGTCACTGTGTATATGTGCAGGATCTTCCGAATATTCAAAAGAGTTGACATTGACGATTTTTTTCGACTGGAGCACGCTGAAAGTATTAGGAAGTCCACTCCGCTCGCCATTTAAGTCTCTAGTGAAACAAGCTGATGTGTTGGTGGGTTTTCTGAAAGAAACTTCGTCCACGTCTGCTGAATTTGAGGCACTATCGCTAAAACGAGAAATACATCTTTTCAATGATGTGGCTAGTCAGGCATAGCAGAACTCAACTAGCTACACTGAATAAATTCAGAGGAATTTGTCTTGATAAAGGTGGGGCAGTTGAAATTTGCTATAACCCACCGTATGATGAAAAACAGCGAACATTTTTTCCCGAATCCTGTTATCTTTTCGCCAAATCTGTTTCGTTTGCAGGAATGCGCGTAGCCAGTTGAATTTTTCAGAAAATAGAAACACTGTTTAAGGTGAAAGGAGACAACACTTGTTTGGATGATTGTCTACTACTGTTAAACCTGAACCTTCGTCGGGAGGTCGGTCTGGCGGTTCTTGTTCTGCCTCACCGAGTAAACTTGCCGTCGGGCTATTTCCGTACGGCCTTCTTAAGTGCGGTGCGGTTGTTTGGTCCTGAGCTCTACAGTTGTGATGACGTAGGACTTTGTAAGCTGCAGGAAAGTCCAGATGCCTGTTGATGGAGTGGGCATCGGGGAACCACGCCTCGAGAGTTAGCCGTTCTGATTTTGTATTGCCCCAGCATAGAATGCTAGCACTCTGGAGATCGAAAGCATGCCCAGTTCCCCCAATGTGTGTTGCTAGTTGAGAGTTAGAGTCTAACCTCCTAATGGCCGATTTCTGCTCTTGTAGGCGAGTCTGCAATTTCTGCTCGGTTTCTCCCACATAATTGCAGTCGTTCTCATTGCAATTTA